GTTCTTATTAGGGCTCAGTTTACACCCTCAGTAGTGATTTTGGAGATTTCAGCCAAAACACAATGTCATTCTGGGGTGAGAATGGTGCTGCACAGCTCCCACTCTTGGGCATGGAGCACACCCTCAGAGCTGCTTGGATGGGCACTGGCACCCTTCTGGTGAGCAAATACCAAGGCAGAGAATTTAAGTAGGTATGCTGCTAGGAAGCTTTCCCTCAACTAAAACATCCCCGGGTGATACATAACCTACTGGGTTTCCATCTCACAAGAGTTTGCCTAAATTTCATGTTGCTCAGCCTTTTTTTCCTCTCTTGTGTTTTCCCAGTTGCTCCTCCATGATTATTTTTATACCATTTCCCTTTTTTTTTTTTCTTTTTCCTAACTGGGGATGTAAGATAACAGACTTAATGAGCGCTGATCTACCTGGGATGGCATCATTTATAAACTCTTTACTTTTCTTCTGGAATTGAAGCTGAGAAATAAACAAAAGTGTTTTTGCAGCATCTCTTTCTCCAGGCTGCTTTCCTCGATGGCTCAGCACTCTTCAGCTTTAAATCAAGATTACTGAGATGCCATAGCAAATCTATTGCTAAAGCATCAGGATCTTCTCTCCTACAGCACATTTGATCCTGCAATGCAAAATCCCAAGGAAATGAATGGGCTGACTGGATTTCAGTGCAGGACTGAGACTGTATTGGGTAAATCCATCAATAAAGGTAATCAAGTACATAATGCAAGGATTGTTTAATGCACTCTTGCTGTCATGCCTCTTTCTTCTGCTTGGGCTGCTTCTTGCAATTCAAGTACACCAGAACAAATCGTTTAAACTCTATGGGTTTGTGGAATTCTCCCTGTCCCCTTACATCACATTTTGTACTACTGATTTGTTTTCAGGTGGTTGTAATTGGGAAGATCATCTCTTTTTTTTGGACATTTTATTCTGGTTTTGGAACTTCTGATGTTGGTGTGGATTTGAATGGTGGACAGGGTGCAAGGGGTGGGAGGATGGAATGAGAGGCAGCGATCATGGGGTTGTTCCAGGGTCAGGATCTGGATCTCTTCAGCCTTCCTTGACTGCTTCCATCCTCCTTTTGCTGCCAGGGCCAGGATTTGCTCTTGCTTGGTCAGTCCAACTGTGGCTGGTACACAGAGTACTTCCTTCTGGATCAGGGTGGTCGGCCAGTTGTCTTAAATCAACACGCTGTTTTACTTCTTAAGAAGAATAGAGCTTTTAGTGGAAAGATGATCTTAAAAACAAAACCCGTCTAAAGATGCGCCTTCTCTACCACTCTGTGGCTGATTCATGGGAGGACACCTCAGTAACCAAGAATGCCCTTTGTTTTTGTTCTCCAAATAGGATTCTATGCACTTTTAAACTACCATATCCTTGTTTGCTCTTTTCATTGTCGTTCTTTTTCAATTTCTCTCAAGAATTTACTGAGATGTACCATATCAGGCTAGTTGTCTTTTCTTCCCTTTGTCCTCCCCTCTAATTCCATGCGTGAATATGCTTACAGAAACCATACCATGATTCAAGTCAGCACACAGCTCTTTAGATCTTCCATTAACCATCTGTGTGACCTCAGGCAGTTTTCTTTTTCGAATTCACTGCTGTGAATCTGCATGTGATCTAATTTTTTTATTTGAAAAGAAACGTTAAGGATGACCACACACCAAATTAGGTCTTTCTACTCACTTGGCATTGGCTTCAGTTTTAAACACTAGCAAATATTCTGATTTGGGAAATGTGGCAGCAATTTATTATGAGGATTTATACTTGAGCTGAGCTGTGTTGGTGCCTCTGGCCAAATGCATATATCATGCAAAAGTATGGGTTTTTTTCTTTTTTTCCTCCTTCAGATAGCGCTGACCTGCCTCTCCTGTGCAGCCTCTGCCTTCTTACCCATGCTCAGGACTCTTGTGGCTTTGGTCTGCTGGGCTGCCGTTTATCTGCGTTGTTCAAACCTTGTAAATGACTTTTCTCTCACATTTTATTTGCTTTTTCTAGATAACAGTACACCTGGCTCCTTCCCATGTATTCACATTCTGATACTTTGATGTCATCTTGTTCTTTTCATGCATCTACTGAGAATCTCTGTCCTATGGAACAGTAACCTTCATATTTCATCATTTCTTTGGGAGAGGCCTAAGGAGGGCTGATTGGTCTCCCAAGTGCCAGGTGGGCTGAGAAAAGGTTTTTCATCAATAACACTGCTCTTCATTCTGAAGATAACTGGGAGAGATGGGGAAGGGATGAGGATTCTGCAGTAAGCTTTTTCTACGTGACCTGTAAGAGCAAATTTGAAATCTTTCAACAGGACCTCAAGCAAGTTTTTCAAGCTTGTCTGAATGCTTACTATTTAGGTTCCAACAGGATTGCTTTAATAAAAACTGTCCACCTTCCAGAGGTCTTGACTGACCCAGTCTTTCCATTGTCTACTAGGACAAAATAGCTCAAACAAAATCCTTCCAGCTTATTTTGAGATAGGAAATGGTATTTATGGTATGCCAGAGTGATACCTCTGTCTTACAAACCATTCTAAATATGGGAAGAATTCCCCTCTCTATGTGTAAGGGAAAATGAAACGATCCGTTTGTAATTTTCTTACCTTGACAAAATGCAGGGAGTGACTCAAGTATGTCCCATCCTTATGGAAATTAATTGTGTTAATGGGATGATTAGAATTTAAAGCTACTGTCATCAGACTGGTTTTTGTGGCTAATGATGGTTCTTGGGAAGATTATGTCATAATGAAGGCGGAGAACCTGGTCATCTATATATATGTGATCTGACCTGAGCCTTTTCTTTGGGTCTCATTGAGCAATGCGCCAATAGAGGCAACGTAGGCGAACAGCTGCCACCCTCACCATGAAAATAGAAGGTGCTTCGGTGGTCCTTGCTCTGGCTTTTTTCTGCTTCTTCTCAGGTTAGTAAACTCTGATGCTCTCTGTGCTGGAATCTGGCAGTGGAACAGCACTTAAAGACAGTGAAATAGAGGATTAGAGAGGCAGTGCTGTTTAAAATCAGCAGTGATGTAACCAGAAGACCACTTTTTTTTTTTTTACTGTACTACTCATGAGACTGATTTTAACACATTTTATAATGTTTTTTTTCTTTTGCATGTGACAATGGTGAATTTCCTCCATATTCAAGTGCAACTATCTATATTTAGTGGAGTTAACAGTTAAAAAAAAATCCTGAAACTAAACCTCCCAACTGCTTATGTGGAAGAATAAAAATTTCCAGCCAGACTGAATTTTTGCATAAAAGTCTAATTTTGAACAAAAATATACTACACCTTCTGGTGTGTTCAGAAAAATGGGAATTTCTAGTCGATTTTCTCGTTAGTGAGTGCATTTTCATATGGCTGCAATAGGGAAACTTGAGCAGGAGCTCAGGTTTGATGCAGTGGTCTTTCACTTTACTGTTTATGCTGAAAAAGATGTAATGAAAGATTTCTCGATAGTTCCATGTGATGCCACAGATGATGCAAGAGAAAAGGATGAAACATGTATTATACATGCTCTAAATGGCTTAGTAGAAAGGAACAGATATCAGCAGCTCATCTACTGAGTCATTAATTCTGTAATTTGTATGAAGTACTGCAAATGGAATGGGTCTTGAAAAGGAATTTGAAGCTTTGGACAAACAACGATATTATGGGCTGGCTTTGGTATCCCCATTTAAGATGAAGATGAAAGCCAATATTTGGATGAGGTTGATACGACTGCCGCTGCAGTGGGAGTAGAAAAATAAACAGTTATTAACGCAACCTTGAAATTGGGATTTTAAGACTGAGAAAAGTGACACATTAAAGGAGGGCACGAAGATGCAAACAAGAAAAAAACGGTGATTTTTGTCATTTGAATGACAAAAAGCAGCAGTGTTCTAGAAAGTCTCTAATGCTTAGTCCTTTCTGTCAATGTACAATAATGTATTGGATTAGCTTTTATCTAGAGGTATTTGGGTGGATTAGGAAACTGCATCAAATATTTTAATTAAATGCTTTTGATTTAAAACTTCCTTTCAAAGACTTTGTATGGTTTCATTGTTGTTTATTTTCTGCTGCAGATGTTGCCAGCCAAGCTTCAATTAAGGCGAGTCCAACCTTTTCTATTCTGTCTTTCCTTTTGTATTGCCAACTGCACTGCTTAATGCATGCTCTAAGCAAAGTCATACAGACAAACCGTACTGAAAGATCATCGTGCTTTTCCTGTGGCTGAAAGAGAGGAGTTATTTTCTGTGTGTAGAGACAGCCAGCAATGGCTCTAGCTGTGTGCTTGGTGTGTGATGCTGAACAAACATCCAAACTGCTCTGGAATGAGGTTAGAAATGGCGTGAGCTGTATTTCTAGTGATATTTCAAAAATGTGCTTCTGATCCAGAAGAAACTCCCATTTCTGGTAACTTCTGAGTTTGATAATTATAATAATCAAGCCAAGTCCTTTGAGACTCAGAAAAATGATTTGATTCAATGGCTGAGAAGTCAGCTTCGTTCATGTTTAATCAAATAAGCTTCTCTCTCCTTAGTAAAGACCCTTTTGGAAAACATAGTAGCCAAAAATAACTAAATGCTTCATTAATTCTCTACAGCCCGCATCCCCAGTTCCCCGCAGAAGAAGCGATTGGCCGATGCAGCGTTAGACATTATTGCTGCCATCCCTGAGGAGTGTGCTTTTGTGGTTTGTCCCTTGCACCCAAATCACTCCTCAGTTACTCCACTCTGGCCAATTGCTTTCACCTCCTGCTGGCACTTCCAGGGCTGTATGTTATATTCAAGAGCATAATATAGAGTCTTCCCCTGCAGCGGGCTGCAATTTGCAGCTGTATGCAAATTAAGTGCGTATTTCTTTTCTCATGAATAATGGCCTTTGCAGTGAGTTTTGAACTTTCTTCTTGCCTTGGGAGCCATGAGCAGATCTCTGAGTGCAGCAAGGGATGGGGGGGAGAGTGTGAGAGCCCCAGCTACCAGACAATCAAATGTGAATGAACTGTTTGCAGGACCTTGATGGCCTCCGAGAGAGCCCTCCGTTGACTGTCCTCCTCCGTGCATTTCAGAATGAGTGCATGAAAATCTGGTCCCTCCTTCGCAGTGGGAAGTTCTCCTGTCACACTAACAGGCAGCCCATCAGAGGACCCGATGGCAGGAGGGACCTCAACAAGTGCCTGATGTGCCAGCGGCTGCTGTGAGTATCGGCCCCTTGTAGCCCTGGGCCAGCCAGTGCAGATTGCAGTTGGCCAGCAAACCAGTGGACCCAGCAGTGTTTTGTTTCTCTAGAGGATGTTGAATAGGATGGGAACAACTGGATGCTAGGCAGTGAGAAATGATGGCAAAATGCCACCAGTGAGGAGATGCTGAATACCCTGAGCATGTCTCATGGGGCTGGAGTCCTGTTCTGTCCCACTGCATTGCACAACAAGGAGGTGGGGTTGGCAGGGCTGCTTTTAATCACCGGTTATTTTGGCTTTACGTCTGAGCACTGCGCGCCACTCTGTTGCTCACACCTCCCTTTCTTGTAGGGAAAGATACTCCAGAAACAAAGGGAGTGGTGAAGAAGCAAACAGGAACGTGAACTCTGGAGAGGTGAGGTGAAACGTCGCTACTCAGCTGGCCAGCAGCAGGGTGATGCTGTGGGGTGGCCCCTCTGCTTTCTGACCTGTTCCCTGCCCACAGTGTGGGGAACGCCAGCTTAGCCAATGTGCATAGGTCTGGTGATGCTCAGGGCAGAGCAGCTGGAGCAGCAGCAAGCTTTGTGCTATCTGCCAGAGTAAAAGAAACCTAAACTGTCCACCCAGTCTCGGGCAATTACTAACACAGCACCAATGGTCAGTGTTTGGCCAGAGCATAGGCTAAGGAAGGTTCCTCCTGTTTATAAAGCACACAGTTGGCATCTGGCAAGTAATTAGCGATGGCGCATGAGAGCTCTGACTAGGGCAGGGTGTGGGACAGGCTGGATCTAATTGTGCCCTGTTTATCTTGTTGATGCACATGGCTGGTTTCTTTCACCCACAGCTGTCTCTCTAGACAACATACGTTTATGGAGAGGGACTTGTCTTTTCCAGTCTTGGGTTTTCATTCAGAATTGGAGTGAGCTGCTTTCCATCAGATAGCATTGGCTGTTGTGATTTATACTTTTACACCTCCTGGCTAAGCAGGATAACTTTCTGGCTCTGCTGTGTCCAGGCAATTTAAATGATTTATAAAGCATAGCTGTTCTAGGGAAATCTTTTTTAAACATTTGACTTGCCTATGTGTTGTCCTAAAGGCAGAAGGACTGTTCCAGAGTGTCAGGCAAGACCTACATTGGACTTCATTGTTCAGCCACCCATTCAGTGTGGCTTTTGGCAATGAATGCTCTGGACTTGACTTTTCCCTACCTGCAGAGCAGGGATAAGCTATCAAACCATCTCCTGTGAGGGGAGAGGAAAAGAAACCTTAAACATTCTGAATAAAGGAACTTTAAGACTCAGAATAGCATGGGGGATGCTGGTGCCCCAGACCTGTTTGTTGGTCCAGAAGGTCATAGGAAAACTGCTCAGAAGAAACAGAAATGCTTAAGAAGGTTTTACTGCAAAAATCTTGTGATGTTAACACAATGTCACGTTGGGCAGAAGGTACAAATGCTCCCTCCTATCCCTGCATACTTGGAAGCCTGAGCTATGGAAGGGTTTTTTGTTGTCTGCAGCCTCTTTGCTGCCCTCTGCTTTTTAAGATTCTGGGTAGTGTGCTCCCTCAGCAGTTTGAGAAAGCAACATCTTCATGCAAAATTAAACAAGAAGGTGTTGCTTTTATACTTAGAGTAGAATCTAAGTTCTTCAGGCAGGCTCTTGCGTGCCTCCTCTATTAGAAATAAAACTCCCCTGGATCGGAAGACAAATGTGCTCAGCCAAGAACACAGATTTATTTGCTTTACGTTGCGTGCTATGGTTTAAGAAAAACGCACCAGGCAAACAATTTATGGTTTGCCACTGAGTTATGCCTGAAGGAAACACAACTGCTAGAGATGTAATTGATTGGGCGGTGACGCTGTGTGGATTCATGGGAGATGCATCTTGGTCAGCATATCTGTGTGAAACCACATTTCTGGTGCTGCTGCAGGATGAGTGCCGGGAGTTCCGGGATCTGTTCAAGAACGGGAAGCTTTCCTGCACGAGAGAGAACGATCCCGTCCGGGATTCCTCGGGGAAGCAGCACAGCAACAAGTGCATCATGTGCGCGGAGAAGTTGTGAGTAGAGGAAACCACTGTTTGCTATTGAGAGTGGTAATGGGGCCGGGTTGGGCTCCTGCAGCAATGTTCTCTTCACTTTCTCATCCTTCTTTGCTTTCAGCAAAAGGGAGAATGAGCAGAAGGCAACTTCAACCAGAGGGAAACAAAAGGTGAGATTAAAGTATTGGGTCAATATACAAATCTATAGGATTCTCACCCAGTATTACCACACTCAATTTCTTTGTCACTTTGGAGATCCACGTGGCTTTCCCTGCCTGTTTCTCACTGATGCCCTTTCATGCCCTGAGTGAATAGTTTGTGTGAATGCTGTGGTCTATCCCACTGACTGCAGTGACATGGGGACAAACCCCATCACAATAAGAAGCTGAGCAGAGCTGCCCTGACATCTGGCATGAGGGCAGAGCAGGCACTGCTGCTGAGAGCACTAATGAGGTTGAAAAGAAAATCTGGGTGAAAAGCTTTAAATGTGAGCTCTGAGATGCTCAAAAGTTCGTTATGTAGTGGGAGGAGAGTTCAGTCCTGTGCTATCCCTAGGGTGGCTCGGTTTCAGCTTTCCCTGATTGGAAACCTCACTCTCATGACGCAGCCACTGTGACCTTGTGCACTGATACTTCTCTGGTGAGAGCAATTCAGCAGTGTGGGAAAAAAAAAAAAGCACTAAGTAAATCTTGCCATTTCTGTCTTGCTAGGAACTGGTACGGTCCCCTTAAGCCTCATTCTTGGGGATAATCCTGTTTCAGTGCTTTTCCTAATAACAGTGGCACAAAAAAAAAATGGAAGTATTAATGAAACTTGCTGATGGCAAAGCTGGGAGGGAGGATCAGCAGATCACTCAGGACTAATTGGATAGCACTGAGGCCTGGAGTAATAGAAACAAGATAAAATGTAATAACAGAGAGTGCAAGATCACACAGGCAGTGATTAACGAGAATTCCTGCTCATCAATTAGAAATGACAAAGGATAAGAAAGCTCTGCATTTATTAGTGGGTCACGGATGCGGCAGGCCTGCGAAGGAGGCAAATGCACATCTCAGCAAGGTTTGTGCAGCAGAGGTTGGGCTGACAGCAAATCTTCAGAAATACTGCTTTAAAGGGAGAGGGCTTGAGAGATACTATTAGGGAGAAGCAGTTCTGCCACAGTAGCTCTGGGGTTCACCTGGGGTTTGGCTCATTGCCTCACTGTGTCCCTCCTTCACCCTCCCAGTGTCGCACTGGGAAGGTGTGGGTAAAAAGTAATGGTTAAGTTATGATGCTTATGGTTAAGATCTGGTTATGCGCCTCCTGTATCTGCTATTTGGAGTTGGCTTACTTGCAGGGCCTCAAGTAGCTGGCTTAAAAATGGGGACTTTAAAGCATGTTTGTATTGTGCTGTCATGCTTTAGATATTGCTGCTTGGTCCTCAAAGTGCTGTTGGTTGTGGGGGGGACTTCTTGCTTCCAATGTGAATTTTTCAACTTCAGAAAGAGCTGTATTAAGGGCAGTGGGAGAAGTGGGAGGGACCCCATTACCACATCACTAGCATGCTCTGGATAGCCCCACGTGGAGCATGACAATTAGAGCATGGCAGAGAGCTCCTGACACGTGCCGTGCAGACAGAGGCACCTGTCGCTTTTCTGACTCACTGTTTGCAGCCATGTGGCTGTGCCACACACCCTCTTCTATCTCTCATACCCGGGCTCTCCTGTGGTGCGTTGGGAAGTCTCTGAAGATGAGAGGGATGTGGCAGGGTGCCCTAACTGCTGCTCCTTCCGTAGGATGACTGCAGTGAGTACCGTTCCCAGTTTGAGGCTGGCGGGCGGCTGTCCTGCACACGGGAGAACGACCCTGTCCGGGATTCCTCTGGCAAGCAGCACACCAACAAGTGCCTCATGTGTGCTGAGAAGCTGTGAGTACAGTTCCTGGCAACAGCAAAGAGGGAAAGCTCATGCTGCAAAACTGCAGCTTCTGCCTGTGTGGCTGCACCTGGGCAAGTCCCGAATCCCAGCAGCCCCCCAAGAGCTGCTCCTGCAGTAGGGCTGTGGCTATTGCCCCTCTTCCTGCCCTCCCCCTTAACCCCTCAGGGAGCAGAGGAGAAGCAGGGTTGATAGAGAGCAGCCCTTTCCTTGGGGCAGCTCCCAAGGGGTTTCCCACGCATGTACTTTGCCTTCCAGATGCTCTCTCTCTACTCCCATAGAGCATATGCAGAAGCAGCCCTGATATGAAAGCAGCCACCTGGAGCCGGGATGTAGCGTACAGTGGGAATGGTGAGGAGAAGGGAAAAGGCTTAGGGGTGGGAATTAGGTGCAGGGCCACCAGGGATGGGGAGGCTGGTGCCTAATGACATGATGCTGGCTTGCAGGGCAGCCCAAGGTCCTGGCAGCATTTGCACCGCCACAGTGCTCCTTTCTTTCTCCTCTCCTCTTTTTCCAGCAAAAAAGAAGCTCAAAGAGGAGGTCAGTCTGGAACTGCCCAGCGCAACAAACAGTCTGCTTCAGAGTGTGCAAACCAGGTGAGACTGAGCTCAAAGCATCACCAGGCTTGGGAAAAGGGGTCAGTGGGTCTGGGGACCCTGATGGTCAAGGGTTACCTGTGGTCCTGGTGCTTGAGGTGCAGGAGCCTGCTGGTGAAGGCAGAGAGGCAAGTTGCATTACAAGCCCTGCTAGTTAATGGGATTGTGTATGAGCATACGTAGTGGGCAGTTCTGGACTCCTCTATAGTGCAAGCATCAGAGCTGCTTCTTCATAAAGAGCCCCATGGTTCCTAGGGTCTAGGGGAATGAGAAGGAGGGACAGGAGCTGCTTTAATCTCACTGCTTTCCTGCTTGGTTTTAAAACACGATCCTGTCCATTTTCCAGAGGAGCTGCAGTGGCTCAGGGTTACAGCAGGGTATGAATGAGAGACGGCCATTCTCCACAAACAGAGGGTGAGTACAGCAGCACTGGGATCCCGGCCTGGCCCTGCAACTCCTGGGGTCTTGACACTGGGAGAAAACATATAGAATAGGGCATATGCACAACCCTCTTTCCTTTTCAAAGGCATTCTTGCTTCCCCTGCACACAAAGCAGTGGTGACTGCTGTGCTCAAAATCCCTCCCTAGCCTTGCCCCCTGGATCCTGCCTCCTGGCAGGCACACTCCTGTCTTGTTGCCTGGCCCATTGCATCCCCATCTGCTGACCTGAGGCAGTGCTGCGTGCACCATGTGCTGTCTGGGCACTGAGCAACCCTTCTGGGATTTTAGGCCTGCAAGACTCTGGCAGGGCTCAGTTGCTGTGTTGTCTAAGCCTTGAGGAATTCTGTTAATCTTCCTGCTTTTTGCTGGTGCAGCCCATTCATCTGCCCCCAGCCAGCACTGCCAGCAGACAGAGTGCAAAGATCTCCATAGCAGAAATGGCTGTAGCACATTCAGGGACCAGGTTTCTGGGATCATCGCTATAATGGGCATCTGTTGCTGACCACCCCTAAGGACTCAAAGGTCCTGTTGCAGGGATTCCCTCCATCCCACGGCAAGCCAAATGCCCTGTTGAAAAACAATGTGCAAAATAATGGCAGTGCACCTTAGTGCAGTTTAATTCCACCCTGGGGTGATGATGTGGCTGAGTGCATCTGCACACCTGTGGCTGTGCCATGAGCTCTGCGCTTTCTCTCCCTGCCAGCCCACAAGGAAACTTGGCTCAGGACTGCAGCCCGGCACCTGGCCGCCAGGGACAGAGCGGAGGCACCAACACCTACCAGCCGGTATGCCCAGCTCCCACGGGTCAGGCACAGCCTTTCCCAGCAGCTGCCCCAGTTTCTGTTGTCAATATCTAGCCTCACACTGAGACTTGTGTCCTTGGAGGGGTTTAAGTGGGTGGTAGAGTCTATACTCTGATGCCTTCCCCTGGCATCAAAAAGGAGTGAGGCTGGATGTGTCCAAATGGGAGTCTCTGAAGCCAGTGCTGCTGGAGTTGGCTCGTTGTAGAAATAAGTCAGGTATGGGAGAGCGTCCTCCAGGAGGTGATGGTGGTGGCCCTTCTTGAATGCTGAGATGTTGGGTTAAAGACCATGGCCAGAGCAGGGTGCTGGGGCTGACTGGGGGGCTGACAAGAGGAGGGGAGAGGGAGTAGTGGAGGAGGACACACTGAGCAATAGATAACGACTGTATGTGGAATCATGTGGGAGGGAGAAGAGGGTGTATGCTCTCTCCATCTCCACAAGAAGAAAATTTGTTATTTTTAACGAAGCTAAACTAGAAATTATGAAACTAATAGGAGAAAATAAGTTACTATAAAAAGGATGACTAACCTGTGGATCTTGCTGTCACAGGGTGTTGCCAAGAGCTACAATGATTAAAAAAAATGACTTGCCACTTATAGTCCATACAGCAATTTAGTACCATTTTGGAAGGGATAGGAAATGCCTTTCTGTGGGGCTGGAGGGACTGACTGCAGACTGCCTTAACTCTCTCTGAAGTGTCTGTCACCGACTGCTCTTAGAAAAATGATATTAGAATAGAAAAAGCTGGGAGGCGGTTCAGATAGGGCAGTTTTAATGCATTCCAGAGGAAGCATTAGGCATAATAATGCCAGTCTGCTTCAGGGCTTAGTGGTATTTCCTGATAGGTCTGGTGAAGGAGTGGATGCTGATCAGCCTGACTGACAAGGAGTGATTCAGAGAGCAAACCTGCCCCTCTCCTCACTCCAGGGCCACCCGTGAGCTTTGTCCCAGGGCAATGCTGTCCTGAAGGAGAGGCAGCAGTCACTGTGGGGGACTGCTGGTGTGGCCGTGGTTGTACACGTGTGGGTCACACTGTGGGCAGCGGTGTCTGGTGTGTGGGAAGGCATCTGGCAGGGAACTGCAAAGGTCAGCACTGTGTGTCTTCGTGTCATCATTAATTACCCAGATGAGGGAGGAAGCAGCACATTAATGAAATTAGCAAGTGATGTTTAAACAGAGGGTGTTACTGCAGCACCCGGTGCCACTGAACCCCCTGCGTTGCCCAGCTGGGAAACCTTTGTTCTCCACAGTGCTTTCAACCCCATAGTGCTGCTGACCCAGCAAAGCAATGAGCCGTTGCTCTGTGCTGAATGGTGTTTCTCCAGGTGGGACAGGAGGCAAAATGTCCTGCCTGCAGCTCTTCTCCGATTGCACCATTTGCAGTCATTGCAACACCTTTTATAGGACCTGGAGAAGGAGATGGGAACATAGAATTCACTCCTTTTGTCTCTGCATTTTTTTTTTTTTTTTTTTTTTTTTTTTTTTTTTTTTTTTTTAGCCTTTGGTGCCCACCTTCAGCAGAGGTGGGCAGTGAGGCTGAGGAAGAGAGAGGGCTGTAGGATCTCCGACCTCTGCTCTCTGAAACTTGCCATGACTCCACAGGCACCTGTGTGCCAGTGTGCTTGTGGGGCTACAATCTAATCATGAGGAGTCTTGTTTCTCCTGCTCTGAGCTCCTTCTAGCTGTGCCACGTCTGCTTTGTAGGAAAATCAATGCCTAGATGCTCCTGCTGTCATGCTCGAGAAGAAACGAGAGGGCACGCTTAATTAGTCAGAGCTATTCATACATGTTTGCATCTCTTCGTTCTGTGGGTGTCAAGTCGTGCTGCGTGTCGGGCTGCCCTTGGGCGGCTGAACTTGATTGTCGAGGTTTTCCCTTCGTTTCTGCCAAGTGTCTTGCAGAAGCAACAAGCGTGAAAGCCCTGATAAAGGACTAGGGACAGGTAGCAGACGTTTCTTGTGTTCTTGTGGATTTGCAGGGAGAGATAAATGTGCCCTGGACTGAGATGTCAGGGTGGATCAGATGAGTGGGTCTGTGCCTGGAAGTGGGGTCAGGGTGGCTTTGTCCCCAAATTGTGGCTGCTTGGCCCAGCAAGAGTTGTTATTTCTTTGCTGAAGGTGTGATGGATGTGCTGCAGGGCAGAGGGGCTCAGGGCAATGCCTGGTTTGTGATCCCTTTAAGTTGTGCCTAGGAGGGTCTTGCAAAAGAACCAGCACCAAATGTGATTTCTTTTTCTCTTCAGCTGGACTGTGATCGAATTCTGCACGGGGTAAAGGGTGGAAGGATTTTCTGCAGCGAATCCTCACAACCCGTCTGTGGCACTGATGGGAAAACATACAAAAATGAATGTGACTTGTGTTCAGCTGCCATGTGAGTAGGCGGAGAGATTTCAGTAATACAGGGCCATCCACCGTTCCCGAGTGTCTTTTGCAGCACACTGTTTGTTTTGATATATCATGACTCACTATCAAGTGTGTCCTTGGTGCCTCGCTGTTAAGCAAACATAGATCAAATGTCTGAGATTAATCTGATGACAGCTAATTAAGATACACAACTTTCCAGAGTCCCTTATTCCCTTTCTGCCCAATCATAGGATTGTTTGGGGAGTAATAAATGCCATCAAATTGGAAGTAGCATCAAAGCTTTAAGGAGCCCACAGAGGACCGCCGTGACGATGTCAGAGAGCTGTGGCACTGGAAGTGAATAAGCAATGTCTTGTCCTCCCTTTGCAGGAGAGCATCAGTTTACATCACGGTAAACTATCGAGGTGAATGCCGAAAGACTGTCCCTGAAATGGTAAGTGCCTCCCTGCTATGGCATCCTGTTTTCTGTTCTGGGTGTGTGCTGGAGTCCCAGCCTGGATCCTGTATTTATGGTGGGATCATCAGAGCCCTGTTAGCAGGGTGCATGTAGTCCACGTGTGTAAACATACTTCAGATTCAGATTTAAGCCATTTTGAGGCATAATTTCCATGTTTTATCCAGACTGTATGGTAGGAAAGTGACATGCCTGGGAAAACATGTGGCTTTTCTCCTGGGATTTTGGTGAGGCCAAAAAAGACTGCAATTGTATAAATCATAAGGATCTAATTTCCCAAATGATATCCAGGGATTTGGTTGGGAAGGAAATGTATTCCCTAAGTGGTATTCTTTCGGGAAAGGTCTTGAGTCTTGTGTGATTCTCCTATAGTAGCTAAGTCAAAGATTTGTCAGTGATGCGTTGTCTTCCTACACATGGCAGCTCAGCAGCATCCAGAGCTTTGATTTGGAGCCTGTCCTAATCTGTGTGTTTTGGGTGTATGGGACTGACCTCAGTGTTGGCATGGACTGCTGAGAAACTGAATATTCATCCCCAGGGAAACATTGACGTTTACTCCAATTCCATACCTGGAATGGATCAAAATATCAAATCAGCCAAATGGAGAAGTTGTGCAAGATTTTTTTTTTTTTTTTTTTTTTTTCAATGAGAGAGATGGCTTCTGAATATGAATTTGCTGACAGTGTTTGTAGGTAAAACAGTATTGCTTGTTGAAAAGCTTTAGAACAAAATTACCATCATAAGGCTTTTACTTTGCTCATTGCCAGGATATCCACCCATACCCAAAACTTTAGAAATGAGGCATTCCCATTCCTCTTCCTCTCTTCTGTGAGGTACCAGAGTGCTCTCAACACTGTTTAAAGCTGAAGAAAAAGTGAGAGAAAAACAGTTTTGCTTGTGATCATGCTGTGGAGGTCTGTGTGTCTTGTTCTTTGGTGTGATGAAGCCATTGCTGGTTCATGTATGCTGGGAGTGGAGACACTATGCATACCTGTTGGTGGCTGTGCTTGTGCTGCTGGAGACAGACAAGGTTGGGTGTACCATGGTAACTGAAAACCAGACAGGATTTCCTCAGAGTTGTGTCTGGGCTGCGATTCCTCACCATTCTGTGTTTTACCAAGATGTTACAGCTCTTGGGTCTCTGCAATTAGAGGAATATGCCATAATGCCAGAAGTCAGACAATTTGTAGCTATTCCAAGGAGAGCTGGAAGCAATTAAGTGGAAGTGATAAGATTTTTCCACTGGGGAAAATCTTCCACAAAAACATCCCTCCAAACAAAGACTTATTATTTCTTTCTTTATGTATATTGTGTCACCTGAAGAATCAGATTGGAAATTTCTGGAAGCCCATTTCCTTAGCAAACCCCTTGTGTCCATCAAAGACTTCCCTTTTTTCTCAGTTGGAAGCTTATGGACAATGTACTGATCAGTGTTATTTTCTGCCACTTGAATTTCATGCTAACATTCAGCTTAATGCATCCTTCTGAAGGCCCAGGCACTCACTGTGTGTGGAGGAGATCACAGTGCCTTTGGCATCAGAAATGGTTTTAGGCTGTTGCAATGTGCAGAACAAAGATGTGAAGGCCCAAAGACTTGAGTCTTGGAAAAATGTTGCTGCCCAAAAGTGTAGTTTGTCCTTGAGTTGTGTTTTGAAATTAGCCACGGTAATGCTGTGCTGCCTGAGAAAACGTGTGTCCAAGCTCAGAGCCTGCAGCCATTCCTTCTAGCAAAGCTCCTCCTGGATTTCCAAGTCTGTGGCAGTCCTTCCCTAACAGCGGCTGCATTGCCAGCAGGGAGGGATGGCTGTAGGAAGGGACAGGAGAAGTCTGGCTGGACAGAGATCTGACGTTAAAGGGTGTGACTGGACAGCATGCACTGATGTGGTGGAAAACCTTCCTGCAGAGAGAGCCCTGGGGCTGGCTGGCAGCAGGGCCCCTGCTGCATGTGTGAGGTCTGAGCCATCAGCAGCCAACTCTGATCCTGTTCTGCTTTACTGCAGATGAATGTAGCAGAGTCCAGGGTTTCGATTTTTATTTTTAACAAGGCAGCTGGCCGCTGCGTCCTCCATGTGTCCATGTGACATACAGCTGTATTAATGGTGGGTCTTCCCAGAATGTTTAGCTTTCAGTGCTGTATTTTTTTTCTTGCAGTTTCTCTTTTTGTTCAGCTGCTTTTTCACAGATCTCCCATGCGATAGACACCAGTCTGTCCATGTTAGTTAACAGGTCAGGCAGAAAAAAGGATATCCAGTTTCTCCTTTTTAATCTGTTTTCTAAGAATAGAGAACTCCCAGATTTCTAATGGGCAAGGCCATTTTCTTACAGTGCTCTTTTTGTCATGCCTTTCTTAAGAATGTAGAAGAAGGGGAGAAGAAAAGAAAAAAAACCAAACAAACAACAAACCAGGACCTTTTCCAGCTAGATATTAGTTTTGGAAAGCACGTAGATCCAGGCTGAAATTTGTCTGTTTTCTGAGGCTAACAGTGACCCACCCACTGCCCCAGTGCCACTCTGCATCCCAGCTGGTTCCTGTGGCCACTGAGCTGTCTGAAGGGGCTGTCGTCTAGGTCCTAATGCTCTGCCAGCGTAAAACAGTAGTTGTGCTTGTGGATAGACTTATTTTGCTCTTTCTTTCCAGAAATAATGGAGTTCAGACTGCCAGCAAATACCAGGGATCAGCTGTGACCAAAGGTACAGTGGTGCGGTGATTTGCTCCCTCTTGGACAACTTGTCCACGTTTCACAAGGGTTTGGGTGTCAAACCTTGCCTGGGCAGGCTGTGGGGTATGTCTGGGGCAAAGGGCTCTGCAACACACCCTTCCCTATTGCCACAGCACAACGATGGGGTGTGTGTCTTCTGCAGAAGTAGCAGGGTGAAGGGAAGCCCCTGCTGAGGGGGCTGAACCCATTGGGATATGCAAATATCATGAAGACTTCATCTCTACTGGGCTGGGCCTTGCCCGTTCCTTTTCCCCTCAGGTATCCCTGCAGAGGGAAAGGATGCTGGCAGAGCAGAGTACTGCAGTTCCCTATCACAAGGAGGTGGAGGTGGTCCAAAGCAACCCAGCTTTGAGCTTTCCTCGTGGTTCTTCTATGTCCCTTGCCTTTTGGAACTATAGTAATAAACCATCTGCCCCCTGTTTCTCTAGGACAAGTAAAGGAAGATCTGATGTCAAGCACCAGGGAAGCTGCTGAGTTCCCAGTGCTGTTGGATCCACCTTCATCCCCTTCTGCAGCCAACAGGCCTGTCCTTGCTCAGGTGGAGGGTGAAGGGCTGTGGGGACCCAGTGGTGGCTTCCCACGTTGGCCCCACGCATGTTGTTGTAGTCGCTGCTCGGCTCGGGCTCTGCCGCCTCGCTGTGTCTTAGCATGTTTCTACAATAAAGATAACTCCACAGCGTCCTGTTGCTTTTCTTCACTGAGCCTCACAGGAGGGACGTGTGAGTCCCCGGTCCGGCTGCTCGCCACGCGTCCCTTGAGCACTAAGCACCAAAACCCAAGTGAAGATGTCAGACACAGAGAAGAAGAATGTGGTCTGTGTTCTGTTAGTAGGGACCAGCAGTTGGGTTCTCTGGCTCGCTGTAGGGCCTTGGGTGTATCTCTTTGTCTCCCTTCAGCCCTTTTCTCTTGCCTGTAAAAATGGACATTAAAAGATGCTTACCTACCTCAGAGGGTTGTTTGGAGATTTTAATTGGTTTGCATTAGAGAGTTCCACAGATGGAACTCTATTCCTACGCACCAATCCTGGAGTGCAAGACCTTTAACTGTTGCAGTCATGCCTCTTCCAGCCAACACCCGATGGGCCGTGTGTATTTCCTGTTCTTTCGTTTATGGCTGTTACTTAAAGCAAATATGTTCTTATTTGTGTAAACTTTATTGCAGGACATTTCCAGAAGACCTTGAGTGAACGTACAGTGTTTGAGTCCACTTTAGCTGTGACCTGATCTGCAAATACTCTCTGTTGTAGATAAGGCCAGAGTGACTTTCAGGTTTTGGCAGAATTTCACTCAGTGCCAATTAATTTGGCTCCCTCCACAGATATTGATTTTTTTTTTTTTTCAATTAAGTTATCACGATCTTTTTTTTCTTAATGCAGCTAATGAAAATCGATTTTTTTACTCTCATAAAGTACTTCCGCATGTATCACATTTATCTGTCTATAGCTTGATTATCAGCAGGCTTTGACACAAGATTAATATTTTGTGTGCTGATTTTTATTTTTTTTTTAATGTGTGCAAACACTGTGGTTTAGAAATATGTTATTGCTACTTATTTCTACGTGGGAAAATCCCACCTCACAGTTATGCATGGCAGAAGTCACCAGTTGGATCCAATTTAGCTGTTTCTAGGGATGCAAGATTCCTCTGCTTAGAGCGGGTGAATCCTTGAATGTTATTTATACCTTCTGAGAAAAATGAATATGAGATGGTAAAAATGTGCACTAACGATGTCTGCTCACTGATTCCAGCTAAAATCGTGTGCAGGGACCTCTATGTGATTTTTGTAAAAGCAGTACACGATTTGAAGCTTAAAATAGGTTCTTGCAAATGAAAATCGGCGCACTTGAGAGCGCTATTATAACTTGCAGTGATTTCAAGCATTTAGATTTTGAAATAATCATCCATAAAACCTGCATTAATTGTCCTCCAAAACCAATGAGCTGATGAGGAGGGTGCCCTAGTAGCCTCTTCTGCTGGATTTGAGCACCTTCTGAATTTCTCCTGCTACCAGCAGAAATTATGCACAGAAATCATAGCTGGTATAAGGGTTTATTAATCAGATTACAAAACTGCTAAGAAGGCACACAGCAGTGTGTGCTAAAGCTGCCTGTGCTGTAGTTAGTGAGCCTACCATAGGTAGCAATGCTAACTCCTTCCTTTTAGCAGGTTTACCCACTGCTCCTTCTTCCATCATTCCTTCCTCTTGTAGGGCCTGCTTTTGCACTTTGATCCGGTGGCTTGCAGGCGATGTCTGTCCCCAGCAGTGCTCTAAGCAGCTGACCTCCAGGAAGGGCTCCGGGTGAGCGATGCAATGTGTCATTTCCACAGGGTTCCTAAGAAGGAGGAGGCAAAAAGATCAAGAGGTGCTCCAAATATATTATCCTGTCCTCTGTTTTGCTCTTGGTTTCTCTTTGTGGTGCCCTTTAACACTGTAAAGAGACCGTAGCAGTCCTCTATGAACCTGGAAAGGTATCAGCACTCTGGGAAGTCTTCAGTTTGCTGTAAATTGCACTTTATTACAGATGTTTCTTCTGCCAAGACCCACTGACCCCATGTGGCTCACAGTGTTTTCTAAGGCTTTGCAGGACTGGTGTTATGAATTGGCAGCCTCCAGGCCTCTCACAAATCTCCTGCTTCTCACAGCGTTTCTTCAACTTCTCCCAAGCACAGCTGGGTTTTGAGCTCAACTGCTCCCTGCAGGGGCTTGAGCCTCCTGCTTTTTTTGCATAAAAGGTGTCAGGTACTTATGCAATCCTTAAGGGCATGCAAATGCTGCTCTGAGGACTGTTGATTCTGGCAAAACCCTTTGCAGACCTTGTACTCCCTTGCTATTTCCCAATCGCTGCAGTCTAGCAGCTCTGCCCACCAACTCCCATGGCCAACAGAGCAGCAGTCTGTGCATGCTGCAGCGCGATGTGGAAAGCGATGATTGCATGAAAGTGTGATGCTATGGTACGGCCTCTGCAGGAGCCTGACACTGTTTGCGTAGGAGGACCCCGTGTGTCTGCTGCAGAGCTGTCTCGTGGCTGTCCGTACATCCCTAGGATGCTGGACCCTTCCAAGCAACCACAGCATACGGATCCCTGAGGGTTTCAGCCTTGTCTCCCTGGATTATCACAGGTTCAGCTCTGTGGTCCATCTGATTTATATTTGGGGTCTGATGAACAGGCTTTTCTCTCAGGTCTTTAAGGCTCCTATTTAGCTCCTTTTGGTACATTTCCCTGCACTACAAGTCTCCCTGCTACACAGAGCTCTTGTCCAAGATTTGGCACCTGCCCTACTTCAGCCCTCTGCAGGAGACTTCTTGCTAAGCAGCCCTTCAACCAGGTCTGCAATACATGGCAAAGAGCTGGAAGAGGTCTACAGTACTTCCCCAGCATGAAGATACGAGCGCTCTTTTTGAGTAGGTCACTGAAGGCAGTAAGATGTCAATACAACCAACTGCAAAATACGAAGCCACATGAAAATTCACAGTTTACCTTGATGCTGAAGGGCTGAAAAGAAACACCGTGCTGTTAGCACAGGCACTCTGCTGGCAAAGTGAAAATGAGCAAAGAGGATGAGATGGACAGATAGCTGATGGAAAAAGCTCTTCCTAATTGCTCCACAGAGCAGCTAGCTTGCCTGCAGGGCTGCAGCATGGGGCTGCTTGTGCATTATGCAGAGACCCCAAGACCGGTGCTGTTTGCCTTAGCAAAGGCACAGCTACAGCTGCAGCGATATTTTCTAGATGTCATTTCCTTCCCTACATTACTGACAGGTGTTTGCTGTTCTGTCCCTTTAATCTGTATCCTATAGCAAACATTCCTTGAATTTAATAACTTAGCTGGAAGACAATTGCTGTGATCTTGATAGAACATGCTGAGTCAATCTATTTTAACTGCAGATTTAGTTTGCAAATACTGTCTCCTTGCCGATAAGATTCAGGTGTCATCTTTGTGGACATTGGCAGGAATTTTCTTGACCGTGACAGGCTTTACAGAGTTTGGCAATTAAGCTGTCAAGACACATTTTCTTCTGCCAGGACGCACTAATTGATGATAGTCTTGGCTGCAATAGGCACAGAGAGATGGATATTGTAATCAGAATGAATAGAGGTCCTTCTAGTTGAGAGCTACATTGGTCCAAAGGTTTGGAGTCCTTGACATTTGGTGATACTGAGATAAGGAACAAGGCAGGAGATATCAGAGCTGAATATCAGATACGGTATGAGAATAGACAGACCTGGAAATGGTTATGTTCTGGCTGGAAATGTTGATATCTGGGGAGGTTTTAACTCTGTGGATGCATACTGCAAAGTACTAATATTAGCAGAGCTACTGGATGTGAGAGCAAATAGAGTTTTCCATTAAGTAATCCCAAAAATCATGTTCTTGTTGGTTTGCTTTTCAAGTGCGAGGGGTGTTGGAGATGTACTTCCCTTAGAAAATAAACCTGATGATTCAACCTGAGCTCGCTCTGTTTAAATCACACTGAAAGTAGATCTGCAAATAGGAATTTTGATTAGTGAGTACAAAATATGAAAGATTAAAACTTGGCAAAGCTAGGATTCTGGTTGAGAAAACTGTTTTGTTTTTGTGTTCAATCTTTACAGTTTATAAAAATCTACTTAAGGAGAAAAACTCATTTAGAACCCATCCAAGCTATGCTACTTTAGTACTGGGCAAACCTTCAGGAGATGTTTGAAGAAAACTGAAGACGTGAAGTATAAAGGAATGATTAATGTGCACAGTAAACTTGCTTGGAAGGTAATCACGCATGGGCTAATATCAATCTTTACAAAGTTGGCAGACTTCCTAGATAAAGGAAGTACAGTAGATCTAGTCTACCCAGGCAGCAAAAGCATTTGACCTGTTGCCCTGTGGGGTGGTGTCACCTAGGCTTGGTGAGGGAGGTCAGGGTGAGGTTATGGGGGATGTGGAAGTGTACTGCAGAGGAGCAGGTGGGGTACCCACAGGAGTTAGCAGTGAGCAGACAGAAAAGTGGATCTGAGGACCAAACTTCACATTTTTGTTCCTTGCATTAATGCATAAAAAGCAGACACACAGAGCAGATTGCTGCTGTTGGTTTTCTTTTATTTAAGCAGCAGAAGAGCAGGATTTCTCCCACAGAGAATGGGGTGACCTTCTAGGCTGTGATTGCCTGGGCTCAAGCTGAGATGAAATGCAGTGATGAGGAGCACAAAACCACGCTCTGAGGTTAAATAATGAGGGCTTCTGCTATCTGTTCAGAGCTCAGTTAAAATTGCAGAGGAGGAGGAAGACCTGACTGTGTGTAGCCAGCCATAGGGCAAATGAGAGCTGCGGCACACCGGGGCAGATCCGGGAGCAGAGGGGCCATGGGATGTTCCTTGTTCCCTGGCTCCCCTTAAGACACACAAAAGGCCCCTTCCTGGCAATTGTGCCCACGTCAATCATTAGCTAGAAACCCTGAGCTGGGTAAATACGTTTTTGGCTTCCCGTCTTGATGACAGATTGGGTGTTACATCACAAGGTGGGACCATTTGATATGACAACACGCTATATATTCCTGCTGTTACCTCTGCCCTTCCTCTCCCACTTTGAGAGTAAGCAAGCTGTGTGGGCCTCGAGTCGCTCTGCCATGAAGACTGCCAAGCAGTTTGTACAGGTGGCTCTGGCCCTCTGCTGCTTTGCAGGTGAGTGTTTCCTACTATACCATATAGGTGACTATAGCTAGATGAGAGACTAGACTATCTGTGAGAGTATTTGGACGTAGTAATGTGTTAGAGAACTTGTTCCATGAAAGAATGTTCTTTCTGAGAGCACAACAAAACACTAGACTTCAAGATCCAGGCTTCAGCAAACCTTATACAGGCGACTGTTTTCATCATGGTTTATAGGAGCAAATTGCTGAGGGAGCAGTGCTAAGTGCAGGGCAGGAGTTTGCACGTGGAAGTGCTGCGTACAACAGCGAAGCAAAGCTGTGTGAAATGGCATCTGTGTCCATGTAAGCAACACAAACACTGCATTTTGTATCATCTATAAATTTTCTGTGTTGTTCCTGGTAACTGAGAAGTTTGTTGTGGGAAGGACAGTGCTAGTGGTCAACAGTCACCTGAAATGTGCATGTCTGAGCTCTTGGAAGTCAAATACAAAGTCTTGCAGAAGAGTTTAAACTCAGTGCAGGCTTGAAAATACCTGCATTTCTTCCCTGAAGCATCTTAAGAACTGGCTAACACACGTGGCCTCCTACTGAAAGTGCAATGAAACTTCATTTAATAACCTCTGATTCATGTTATGAATGTACACCACTGGCATAATGCAAAATTGCATTTTCTTAAACCCAATAAGCCAATCGACGACAGTCTCTAAATGTAACTGTTTCATGAAAAGATTTGCATATGACATCTCTGCATATTAGTAATATGTGTTTGTTTTCTGTCTCCACTTTTCTTTTAGATATTACCTTTGGAATTGAGGTGAGTTACAGATTTTTTTTCCATTTATTCTTTTCTATTCCAGGCTTCTGGTCAAACAAGAACAGTATATAATTACCTGATGAGCAAGTGGATTAATCTAACGAAAGCCTGGTTGCTCAAATAATACTTGCCAGTGCATGATTGAATGATATTGCCAAGTCACGAAAAAGTAAAACACACCCATTTATACTATTTTCTGTTCATGAACTAAAATGAAGAAAGAAAGAATTATGTGATCCTATTATGTTAACTTTTGCATATAATTGAGTTAGTCCAAGTCAAGGAGCAGTAGTTACCTTCTTGAGAGGAAAGCTATCTTAAGATGATAAGCTTGAAAGCATCAAAGACATGATGCTGGTATCTTTTTCTATACAGTAAGACATACAGTACAGTGTTCCTGCCTATACCCATATCAAAGCGAGGAAAGCAGCAGGGTCTGTGTGGTGCATTTGTCTGCAGGTTCTTCCCACGCAGTTATGAGATTCCTGCAAATCACCAGAGACTGCAGCGTGATTGGAAAAGATCAGATTTTGAGTTGAGCGGCTGCGGAGCATGGCCAGGCTCCCAATTACCAGCTGCCTTCGTTAGGCACTGTCTTACACACAGCTCTCCTTTCTCCATGTCATGCCTCCCCCAGTCCTCTGCAGGAAAGCGTGATCAGAAGATTCCTATCTCCTGACTGCCTGAACAGATTCCAAATGATGCCTCAGGTGTTTGTCCTGGCAGGAGGTTGCCAGGCTGCCTTTCATTGTGGGCGCTGACCCTAGGGCTGACGTTGTGCTGCTTCCACAGGTTGATTGCAGTCTGTATGCCAGCGGCATTGGCAAGGATGGGACGAGCTGGGTAGCCTGCCCGAGGAACCTGAAGCCTGTCTGTGGCACAGATGGCTCCACATACAGCAACGAGTGTGGGATCTGCCTCTACAACAGGTGAGCTTTGTGGAAGCCCAGGGGAGCTGCGGGGCAGGAGAACTGAGGGCGACAGCTCTGTCCCCAAAATGTGGGCTGTGTGGAGGAGTATGCGAGTTAGCACCAGGGTGCTGACCTCCAGCCGGGGGTGGTGGCTGCTCTCTGCAATCTCTGACACAGGTCTGCTTCCTTCTAGGCAACACAGTGCAAACGTGGAGAAGGAATATGACGGAGAGTGCAGGCCAAGGCACATTACGGTAAGTCCAACGGGAAGACAAAGTCTTGCTCTGTTGGTGCCCGCAAAGAATTTTATTTTATAGAATCAAGGAACAGATGGGGTTGGAAGGGACCTTACAAATCATTGGGCTCTAACCCCCTGCCCTGGGCTGGCTGCGCCCCACCAGATCAGGCTGCCTGGGCTCCAATCAAATCAGCATCGGGCAACGTCCAGGGATGGGGCACCCACAGCTCTCTGCTCAGCCTGTTACTTGTTTACTTATTTATTTCCATTCCTGCTGTTCTTACAGGTTGATTGCACTCAGTACCACCGAGTTGTAAGAGATGGCAACGTCATGGTAGCCTGCCCAAGGATTCTGAAACCAGTCTGTGGCTCAGATAGCTTCACTTATGACAATGAATGTGGGATTTGCGCCTATAATGCGTAAGTCTTTTCTGTAGAACATCTTTCTGGGTAATTAGAAATAGCTAAGTCTCTTGGAAACGCTTATGTAAAACACTTTCTAAGTCTTTTTTAGGGTAGACGTTACTGTGAGACTCTTTGAAGCTGGCTACTTGTAATTCTCCAGCCAGCTGCAAATTTCTTCCCCATTCTCAGTCTGTGCCCATGAAGGGAATCATGAAAAAGACAGAGGACAACCCACAGCAGAGGCATGAATAGATCAAAGTGTTGTTCAGTGCTGTATGATATGGAAATACCATGCATTTTCTGCTCATGAGTGGTTGCTACCACCTGTGGGCTGCATCCAGACCTCTCAGCCATGCCTTACATGATGGGTGGAACTTTGCTTTCTTGCCCGAGTATCTCAGCTTTTTCTCAGGGCTTCCTAACCAAAACAGCTCTTTCTTTCAGAGAACATCGCACCAACGTTTCCAAACTGCATGATGGAGAATGCAAGCTGGAGATTGGCTCAGTAAGTGTAATAGAAATACAAATCCATCTCCTAGGGCTGTTAATAGAGAGAATCCCGTTGATTTACCTAAGAAAATGTATGACAGGGCTGGCCAGGGGTTCTGGTACACGCTCTTGCTTCCTGCCTGGTGTGGGTGGCTTTTGAAACAAAGCGGCAAAGGAAGAGGCCCCAGATTTTCCGTGAGTTGTGCTGTGCAGATTGGCAGGTTTCTCTCTGGAGGTGACAAGCATTTCCACCCTTTGTAACAAGCATTCAAAATTCCAGTGCTGGTAGCTTTGTTAGATAAAGTGAGATTCATAAGAGAGCCAAGCATACATATTTATAGGGCGTAGCTTATTGTATATTTATACTGGGGTAATAGTCCAGTGCCTCAGGAAGAAAAGCTTGTACATTGCAGCACAAAAATTCTGGGATGCAGGGAGCCTGTTTTCTAACAGATTCCTCCTTTATCACTTCAGCTGCCATGCTTAACTGCAGGGAATCTGAATTATTAAGTAATCACAGCACTGGAGAAGGAAGGAGAAAAACCAACACAAACCAAAACAATATTAATCAGATTTCCAGCTGTTGAAAAATATTTCCCACCTAATTCAAGACTGTTGTGTTGATGAGAAAAAGACTGAAAAGTCTGTAATGATCCTCTGCCTGAAGGCTTCGTTCTCTAAGAGAGGTGCTATTTCTTGTCTCCTAGAGAATTAGGGTAGCATTCCGAAAGCCATTTCTGATAGATAATTTAGTTAATGTATCAGGGCTTTCCCTGTCACAAAAACTAGGAAGCCTGGAATACAGAACGGAAAAGTGTTACACTGACTTTTCCCGCATAGCACAGGCTCTGGGAGGGCTTATTCTCCTTATTTCAACAGGTTGACTGCAGTAAGTACCCATCCGCAGTCTCTGAGGATGGCAGAACATTGGTAGCCTGTCCAAGGATCCTGAGCCCGGTTTGCGGCACAGATGGTTTCACCTATGACAATGAATGCGGGATCTGCGCCCACAATGCGTAAGTGCTGCTCATATCCCACTCCTCCAAAGTAGCCAGCAACACTTTGCCATGCTGGTAGGCTTCCTTCTACGTTGCTGCTTATGCTTGTTTCTTCAAGTCTCTTAAGAACTGGATTTTGTTGTTGTTTTTACCGAGTTTTCTTCTGATGCCTTCTTCGTGATCGTGAGGGGAAATCTGCAAGATTCAGAACACAGCTCCTTGGATTAGTCCGTGGGCTGGGCAGTGACTGAGCAGAGAAAGAAATAGTTCAGAATGTTGCTTTAAATAACATGAGAAGACGTGATGAGCTTGTTAACGAGCAGAGTAATGTAGCTGTATCAATACAATCACCCAGAGAGGCCGAAGCCCTCTGTTAGGTATCTGCTTTAGGCTATGTCTGGTTCATTCTGCATGCAAGTGTTTAAACCAAGAGCTAAAGTGTCTGCTTACTTAACTTTATCTCCCTCTTTCAGAGAGCAGAGGACCCATGTCAGCAAGAAGCACAATGGAAAATGCAGGCAGGAGATTCCTGATGTGAGTATACAACATAAGGTGTATTTCTCCCCTTGCCTCAACCCACTGAACTATTTTCTGAGGCCACATCTACTCTGCAAATGAGCTGGCTTGAAGCCTGCCTCTCTGCACGTGTCTTCTGGGATGTGCCAACATGTATCCAACACACAAACAATGTGGAAGTTGGTCAGGAAGAACTTAGGTCTTCTTTTAAGGATGATCTCTAAATGTGTTGCCAGAAAAGTCCTTTACTATTTTCTTGCCTTCTTTTGTTTGATTCTGTAGTGCAGAATGAAAAGGAGATGATATATCTTTTTTTTTTTTTTTTTTTTTTTCTTTTTTGCCATATCTTGCAAATTGTTTCAGTAGGTTGTGACCCCTTTAGATCAGAAGTGAAGCTCACTGGCATTTGGGATTGCTTGAGCTGTTTGCCCTGGTGATTTGGCATCTGACAGATTATACAGTGCCATATACCTCCTCCTGGGCATAAGAGAGTTTCTGCAGAGCTGACTCAGACTGACTTTGAGAGAACTGAAGTGTAGCACCAGTGTTGTTTCAGCATCCCAGCATAAAAGACACGGAGAGCAGCAGGAGGCAATGCTAAGTTTTGTCTTTGAGAAAAGGACTTTTCCAGGGCTGACACTTCTACTTCTTGCAGATTGACTGTGATCAATACCCAACAAGAAGAATCGGTGGTGACAAACTCCTGGTGCGCTGCCCAAGGATTTTGCTCCCAGTCTGTGGCACAGATGGATTTACTTATGACAATGAGTGTGGCATTTGTGCCCATAATGTGTAAGTGCAGCATACAAGACTTACTTTGGAACGACTAGTCATGTTAGTACTTCAGATGGCTTCCCCCTGATGTGATCCTCAGGGAGCTGTGGGAGAGCCAGCTAACAGCTGAGCATCCTATGAGGGCTGTGGCATTTGTGCAGAGGAAAAAGAGAATGGGTCTGCTACAAGTAGACCTGAGAAGGCTGTTCCTGCTTAGAAATCACACTCCTTAATGACAGCCTCTCCCTTTCAGACAACATGGGACTGAGGTTAAGAAAAGCCATGATGGAAGATGCAAGGAGCGTAGCACCCCGGTAAGTGTCAGATGAGTGCTGTCTCCTGTATTCCTGCCTTGTGGGTGCAGAGGTTGCTAACCAGGGTCTGTCCATTCAGGCCACAGAGAAGGGGAATGGGCCAGGACTTGGGTGACGAAGTGTCCCAATACTGCAGGTCTCTGGAGGGAAATGTCAGAGCCCATTTTAGCACAGTAGGAGAGGAAGAGCAGAAGCTGTGTTAGATGCCTGTGTACTCATTCAGTGCTGGGATTCCCATTGCAGCAGACAGGTTAAAAAATTTTCATACTGTGGTCAGCCAAGAAAAGGCTGCTCACAGAATGCTTGCAGAAATAGCTCTATAAACATGCACGGTAACAATATGTGCTGATAATATCTCAGCACATTTATTCTGCTTATGCAGAGCAGCTCTAAAACACTGAAAATAACTTTGTGCATCTCAAGGGAATGCTGTACCTTTTCTATAGTAAAGACACACTGTTATAATGCTGTCTTTGCTATAATTTGCTCTTGGATGTGTGGGGAATGTGGATAATAAGAGATACTACACAGGAGAAGGTATGCAAAACAATTGTGAAGTGTCAGAAGCTTCTCTAGTGTAGACTGACTTGCAGTGCTGTCAGTAGATACTTGCTTATTTATCCTCAAGTATTGGAACTGTTTTTAAACACTGTGAAGATTTTTGCAACAGAGGCTGGTGGGACAGTTTCCTGTTGCTGTTTTGAAAATGCAGAAACAAAATCTAAGGCTTAGTTAAGTCAGGCATGACCTAATGTCAAACCGGATGTAATGCCGAACTCCTCATATCAAATTCCTTTGAATAATGCTTGTTTTGGGGCATACGCTACATAAGGAAGATTATCTTTCTGGTCTGCTATTTCTTTGCATTCCCTTTGTTAGCAAACAGTACCAAACCCAACTACAATTAATTCATTTATAACGGGGAGACTAAACTGATATCAACCCTGATTTTCCTGTGGCTCGAGAGACAGTCTGTCTCCCAGCAGCTGACTCAGCATCGTTACTGTTTTCTCCCCAGCTTGACTGCACCCAGTACCTGGGCAATAGTAAGAATGGTGAAGCCATTGCCGCCTGCCCCTTCATCCTGCAGGAGATCTGTGGCACTGACGGTGTCACCTACAGCAACGACTGTGCTCTGTGTGCCCACAACATGTAAGCCCTGCAGGTCACCCGCTCATGTATCACCATGGCTGCGTGTCGAGCTTTGCCAACTCTGTTTTCTCTCTCTTCCAGTGAATTAGGAACCAGCGTTGCCAAAAAGCATGATGGGAGGTGCAGAGAGGAAGTTCCTGAGGTAAGTGATAGATAGGAAAACAGGAGCTTGAGGTGATGCTTTATTGCCTAGCATGCACAACGCTGGCTGGTTTTGGTGATGCCGTGTTGTGCCCTCCTGCTGCCATCCTTCCTGCAGGTAAACATCAACCCTGGCAGCAGGAACGCTGTGCAGTCAGGGAAAGAAAGAGAAGAAGACAGGTGAGGAATGAGTTATGAGACAGGTAGCATATATGATTTAAGGCATTACAGGAAGAAATGTCTTTCCCACAGCAGCCTATCATACCTGCTATGGGAGTGTAGCTATCTGTTCTGGCAGTATGGAAAGGGACATAGAGCACCTCCAGGTACTTGGTGCCTTCTGGATACCTGTGCTGTGCAAAGGGATGTTCTACAAAGATTAGAAAACTACCTGCATTTTGGATGCTTATACCTAATGTATCAGAGGATTCAAGCCCCTCTTACTTTTTATTGTAAATGTGATATACTGTAATGTATACCAACAATGAATCTTATAAAAAATACCAGATAAGCTATATGTGGCTTGCTCTAAACTATTTACGCTCACTGGGGAATAGAAAAACAAAGCCATCTCATTATCATGTGTTTGAAAGAGTCAACGTTGTGAGTCAGATATTTCATTTCTATACAAACAGACTATGAAATGTCATTGCTTTGTTTCCTGGATATGCTCTGTGCTCAGACCAAGATGCATAAATCAGTGAGGAAGAGCTCGCACTGGAGAAACTGGGATAGCTAAAACTCAATGCCGGTTCTTCAAATGGCATAAATCATTTTGAACTGCTGTCTGTCCTTCTGGCTGGTTGCAACACACAGAACCAGCCCCTTGCAACAAAAGGCATGTCAGCACATCTCCTCAATTCCTGTGGGCCATGACACACTCCTTGGTCACACTGAGCTTCTCTTGCAGGAAGTGCATAAATCATAGCAGTTTGTTTTGCAGATTATTTACGAGCTGCATTTTGCAGTGTCCCAGTTGTTCAGCAAGCTCTAAGGGCATCATGATAAATGCAGAGCTGAATGAGTGATACGCGCCTTCAAGCTTTGATTCAGTCTTCTCCAGCATGAGGCTGTGACAGAAAATTGATAGTTTTCAATGAAGAATGAGTCAATACATAACCATAACCCATCCTGTGGCAGATCTTGAAAGGCAGAGGCGTAAGCAGGGGGGTTGTGCCTGAGTTCCCTTATACAGAGTATTTGCTGCCTTTGTCTCCCAGCTTGACTGCAGCAAGTACAGAACCTCCACACTGCAGGATGGCAGGGAGCTGATGGCCTGCACCATGATCTACGATCCAGTCTGTGCTACCAATGGCGTCACCTATGCCAGCGAATGCACGCTGTGCGCTCACAACCTGTGAGTACTCGTTCTTCTGCAGGGGATCCACTATGGCTGTGATTGGACACATCTCTGAGTGCTGAGTAACATGTGAGGGCTCTGTCTAAAACCTCGTGCTGCATGGGTCCTGCTTATCCCTGTTGCCATGATTGGTGTTTGAGATGGGTGTTTATCAAGGCCCACTGCCCCCAAAGACCCAGAAAAGAGGTTCACGGCCTGGGAAAACACTATTCCATAAGACACATCCCTGGTCTTTGAGGGCATGTTCTTGCTAATGCTGCTCATGTAATGCTTAGCTAATTAATCTGAAAATGTCCCATGTACCACATGGGAACAAGGTTGTGCTCTTATACCATGGTTGTGAATGGGAAGGGTTTCTGCTAACGTCCATCTCTCCTTCCTCCAGGGAGCAGCGGACCAATCTTGGCAAGAGAAAGAATGGAAGATGTGAAGAGGATATAACGAAGGCGAGTGGAAAAGGATGGGAACAAAGAGCTGGATCTGATGACTGTTAGAATCACAGGGGACTGTCCTCTGTTCCACTTCAAAAACGGGGGGAGCAATGTGCAGCCCTGGGGAGGTCCTTTGGGAACGTCACACTGGTTGTAGAATATCTGCCATCCATCCCATGGGAATGGACATGGCAGTGCACAGGAATAGCGTGAGGTCTCATTCCTCACCAGGAGGAACTCAGTTGGTTATTGCCGTGATTTTCCAGTTTCACTCTTTGTGCTGGGGAAATTCTGTTTGATCCCAGGCAGAGACTCATGTCTTCCTTGTGTGTGCAGGAACATTGCAATGGGATCCAGCAAGTCTCTCCCATCTGCACCATGGAATACATACCCCACTGTGGCTCTGACGGCAACACATACGGCAACAGGTGTACCTTCTGCAATGCGTACCTGTAAGTATAGGAGTGAAACCCTTCCTGTAACTGCTACAAATGAAGGGTTGATTTTGTTTTTCACTAATTCTTTATGGGTGTGTGCTAGACATTTCTGATGCACCATGACTTGTGCAAGGTGGTTTTTTTTTTTTGCTTTTTAAGAGAAAATGCAAAGCACCCATTTCTGCCAATCTGTATGTGGCTTCCTGTTTTATTTAACTTCAAAGACATTTTTCTAATTTTCACCAAGCATACAGTTTTGTCCCACAAGCTCATCAGGGTATGGGGAGAGTACTTCACCAAACTAGCTGGAGTGTTTCAAATGTGTGAAACCTGTCATCTTTCCTTTGATGTTCATAATGAAAGGAAGTAGTTGGCCTTTTGAGACTGTTCTTTATCTTCCGTCAGTGTTATCAACATTTGGGCTAGTAAGGAGAGGAACAAGGCCGCAGCACAAAGTCTATTCTGTGTCTAATTCTTTCTTCTCTTTTCACTAGGGAGAGCAATAGGACTCTCAACCTCGTGAGTATGAGCGCATGTTAACTCTGCACTGGAGTCTGGCGTGAGAAACAACCTGCCTTGCACATGAGTCTTCATGTACCAATATTCCCCAACAGTTCTCCTTCAGCTTGTTTTGTGTTCTAAGCTCTCCAAACACCTTTTTGGTGAATAAACTCACTTGGCAACATTTATCTGTCTCACCTTAGTGTCACATTTCATGCCTTTTTCCCTTTCTCCTCCTCAACATGGTACACAGTGGTGCACACTGATTCTTCTGTTGATGTTGGCTCTGACAGCCAATGTGGGTAAAGTTCTTGCCATGTGTCCCTGTTGTTTTAACTTCAAAAAGGGGCCTGGGCTCCCCTTAGAGCTCTCAGGCATTTCCTTAATCTTCACAGTCACGTTGGCAGGATTAGTTTCTCCTAAACCTTGGTATGACCTGAGCAGGGGCTCCCTCTTTGTAGTCAGTGCAGGGAGACATTTGCCTCAAGAGCATGGTCCATCCCACCCACAGGGTAATTCCCAAGATGAGGCGGATGGTTTGCTCTCACAAAGAGAGTTTTCTTGCATTAGGCTAGAAGGGAAAACTCACTGCCTACCTGTGAATTCCCCTTGTCCTGGTTCTGCTGCCACCGCTGCCTGTGCAGCCTGCCCCATGGAAGGGACAGCAACTGCTGTCACAAAGGTGATCCCAACCTGTCTCCACTGGACAATGACCTCAATGACACGTGCTGTATAGGATATAAAATACAGGAGGGGAATGCCAGGCTCCCTTTAGGGTTGCAGAGCAGAAGTGTCTGCGTATAGAGTTTATGTCTTAGTCTATTAATGCAACAGAACAACTTCATTCCTGGTGTCTTGTGAGCTGGAATTGCCCATGTGGCATGGACAGGCCTGCTAAATCACTGCAATCACTACGTTCTGAAGCTATTTGGGAAAGAAAAGGATTCAGGGGATTGCCTGTGATTGACTTTAATTGAATGGCAAAACATAGGAAAGCAGTTCTGCTCAACAGTTGGTTGTTTCAGCTAATTCTTGCAGCCAAAGAGCCGGGTACCCAGTGATACAATAGCTGTCACTGTGTCTGTATGGATGACAGGGAGGTAGGGTGACCTGGAGACCACCCTTCTGCCAGCACAGGGAGAGTCACCACCTCCAGCTCCACAGCAGTGCCATTGTGGTTTACCAAAGAAACACAATTATTTGGACCAGTTTGGAAAGTCACTCGCTGAATTGTGAGGCTAGATTAATAGGCTGAAGGCAAACGTTCCCAACTTGGAGATACTGTTGGTATTGTATCAGAGAACAGGGCCGTAGCACCTCCACGCTATTAGATTCTGGCTGGCATGTACTTTTCAAGATGATTTGTAACTAACAATGGCTTATTGTGCTTTTCTTGAGTCTGTGTCCTAATGTAAACGTTCCTTTGGTTTATATAACCTTCTTGACGTTTGCTCTTCAGATGTTTTTGTAGAACACAAGCTGCTTTAATCTAGTTTAACTGTTGCTTGATTATTCTTAGGGATAAGATCTGAATAAACTTTTTGTGGCTTCGGTAGGCTTTGGCTTGGGCTTAGCTCCCACATTGGCTTTTGCAGCCTTTTCAGTAAAGCTATCAAGATCCTACTCAATGACATTAGCTGGGGGCAGGCGTGCCAAATGCTGCTCTGTGAAACACGTAGTCTGATGATGCTGAAGGCAAACATGAACTCAAAGAGGCAGAAAGTAAAGAAGTTGTCTGGGCAATTCAGGAGAAAACCCAAAGTGGCCATTAGACGCAGTTTCCATGCACTATTTGGCAGTAGGTTTCATATAAATCTACAAAATGGAATAAACCACTACAAATGGGAAAAGCCTGATACTGGAATTTAAATATTCACCCAGGCTTAAGGGGTGTTTCATGAAGTAATATCATTCTATAAAAGTAGGGCAGCCAATTTTTCACAGACAAAACTTTTTTTTCCTGTGCTGCAGTGCTGTTTTTCAGCTGATCCAGGGTTGCTTAATGTGGGTCTGAGAGCTGAATGATTTCTCTTTGTATCATGTTGGTGAAGAAGCAATGGTCAGGGAAAGATGAGCATGTTCAAGAGGAAACATTGAATTTTGGTGGCTTGGGAGACAGAGAGAACAATATAAGGTCTGTAATGTCACTGAGAGGTCTGAAGGATGGTTTTACAGAACAGTTGACTCGGCTGGAAGCTGGCTGTAAATGGATGGATGGACAAGATTTCTGTGCAGGAGATCATCTCCTCAGCTCAGTGCTTGACAGAACGCAGATCTATCCAGTAACCTTCTCCAGCATGAAGGCGCTGGGGGCTTTGGTACAGTTCAGCCTGCTGCTCATTGCTCCCTGGGTGCACAGTGGTGGTTTTCTTGCTCACCTGGATCGAAAACCTGAGCAGTTTCAAATTGAACACATTGCTCTCCTAGATCTTTCAATTGTCAAAGTAAGATTTTTGGGTTTTTTTATTTTGTAACTTGGGAAAAAGCACTAAAAGATGGGTTGCAAAGGCAGGGATTCAGCACTGTTATTTTTTTTTTCAACTCTTATTTTTACACTTCTCTCATGAACAAATAGTTGCAGATGCAGATTCTGGTAAGGATGCGGTGAAGGAGAAAGACCTGAATTTCTGATACATGTGCAACATCGTGCACCTAACATCCACTGCTGAAGCACAGCAGCTCCAGCTCCATGCAGTGCTCACAGCTGGTGCAGCCCTTGGCTCTAGGGACTGAGTAGTGCTAGGACGCATGAAGTTCCATATCTTTTACACTGATAATGGTCCAATCTCTGGAATGGATCCCCATCCTTGGAGGTACCCAAGGCCAGGTTGGCTGGGGCTCTGAGCAGCCTGATGTGGTGGTGAGTAACCAGCCCATGGCACAAACTGGAAGCTGATGATCTTTAAGGTCCCTTCCAACCTAAGCCATTCTATGATTCTAGAATGTGAATGTGTATTGCAGAGGCAATATTTTAAAGTTATAAATGTTTTCTCCCCTTCCTTGTTTATCAAAGTTATCTTGATTGCCTTATCAATGCTTTTGGAGTCTCCAGCCATTTTTCTTACAACAAAAAGAGGAGGAAGAATGAAGGGAATCATTTGATTTCTTGATTGAATAGTAGGATTCAGAAAGCAGTACGTAATATTGTCTTTTTGTATTGAGCTGTAAGGTTTCTCATCATTTATCAGCATGGTACATATTAGCACTTTTCCATCTGATGTGAAGAAAATCCTTATCGTCTACAGTCTCTGTACCTAAACATCACTCAGACTCTTTACCAAAAAAGCTATAGGTTTCAAAACTACATCTGCTGATAATTTGCCTTGTTTTAGCTCTACTTCCATATGCTGCATTTGTAAGAGGTGCGTGGATGGGCCTAAACTCTCTGTTGCTGAGCTTGATGGGTGCTTAAGAATGATGTACTGATTGCTGAAACTGTTTTCATTTCACAATGTTTTAGCGGCATTGTTTTTATAACTATATATTCCTTGGATAAATGAAATCCAGAAATAATTATGCAAACTCATTGCATCCGTTGCACAGGTCTCTAACTGCTAGCAAAGGAAATAGTTTGGGGATGGCAAAAACATTCCCTCAGACATCTATATTTAAAGGAATATAATCCTGGTACCCACCCACTTCATCCCTCATTATGTTCACACTCAGAGATATTCATTCTCTTGTTGTTATCATTTGATACCGTTTTCTTTGGTTCTTTGCCACACTCTGGGCTCTGGCTGCATGCTCTGCACTGATCGGAAAGTAGATGTGAGTGAAGCAGCAGTGAGAGGGGCTGCCCCAGCTGGCACCCAGCTGCTCAGCCTAGGAGGGGACTCTGCATTTCCACCAGCTGAGGTGCAGCCCTACAAGCTCACATGTGCTGTGAGTCAGTGAACAAAGGGAGTCCTCACGGTTTATTTCTTGCTGCCTAGTTTTCATTCATAGAAGCAAAACTTTACTTTCATTCACTCCCCTTGAAGAATGAGGAATTTTTGGAAATGTTTTAAACTCTTTTTCTTTCTTCCCTTTAAGGCTCAGTCGGGGGCCATTGCAGAGGATGGCATTGAGGACCCTGGACCAGATCTGTGGCACAGATGGTTTCACTTAATCAATGGATGTGGGATCTGCGCCTGCAATGTGTCATTCTGATGGAAGGAATGTGCCTTCCAAGTCCCAGCCCCTCAGCCCCCAGCCCCTCCCTGTGCTGCTCCAATTCATCAGCCTTTCCTCCTCCTCCCCATGCTGTTGGTGCTCGGGTGGAAATCATGAAGATTTAGAAGAGAAAACAAATCAGCTGGAGTGGAAGCCCAGATGATGCAGCTCATTCAGCTGTAATGGGTTTGCCGTTGCTATAGGTGTGTATCAGAGATGCTAACACCACTTCACTGTCGGTGATTAACACGGGTGAACTCTCCTTCATTCGCATCATTTGCGGGCCTTATTTACATTCCCAGCATCCATCACCCTCTGAGAAAACGGGCACACTGGATCTCTAATGGAAGACTTTCCCTCTTTTAGAGCATGTGGGACGTGCAGTGACAAGAAATGCGGAGGGGCTGAGCAGCAGCACTGCCCCCAGGGAGCAGGAGCGGATGCCATTGGTGGCAGCATCCCAAATGATGTCAGCGGATGCTGAGCAGGCAGCGGACGGATGGACAGAAGCGATGCGTGCACCTTCTGTTGACATTTTATTTGGCAGCGATTTAACGCTAGCTTCCTAGTACTGCTATTCTCCACAGGCTGCATTCAAATGTATGAAGGGAAGGGAGGCAAAAAGATGCAAAATCCGAGACATGCGGCAGAAATATTTCTTCTCTACGGAAGCATGCACAAACAACCTTCCCCAGCAGCATCAGAAGAGCACAGCATAACCTTTTCCGAGACCAGAAAAGGAAATTCACAAAGCCTCTGTGCATACCAGCACGTTCAGCTCTCCTGATAGCAGATTTTTTGTCAGGTTGCAAATGGTGTATGGTGCCAGGAGGTGCAGGGACCATATGATCATATACAGCACAGCAGTCATCGTGCATGTTTTAATATATTAAGCGAGTAACTGTTACTTTGCCAAAGCAATGGTTCAGAAATGAGTCCTGCTGCATACCTCTATCTTATAACTGTAACTTATAAATAGTAAAACCTTCTCATTCAGCCATGTGCCTTTCTCTGTCAGCACCAATGGTGCTTTG